TCAGGAGTTTACAGAGCTCTGAAAGCTGCGAATTAAAACGGCTGAAACGCTGTTTGTGGTTGTGCAGTATTTCGGTAGACTTTTTAAATATCAGCAAATGCGGGTTAATATCGCGCGCTGATCTGATTCCTGTCAGTGTTTACTGTCGGTTTAAACTCGGCCAGAAATAATGAACCACATTTTGAGCTCGTTGATTCTGCTCGAGAGGCTCAGAGATGTTCTGCTTTCGCCTCATTCTGTGAAATAACTAAACGAGAAGTGCAGCTTTTTCATTCAAAAGCAGATTTCACATTTGTTTGATTTCCATATTTTAAGCGTCTTTAAGCACAAATGCATTTTAACCTGCACTCTCTGAAATAAAGGCACGACACTGTCACTGGGGCAGTGCCCCTCTTGTCACTGGGGTGGGACCCTCAAGGGTACATCTCAGTACCTTTAGTCAGGGAACATAACTGGACCATAATCCACTGAAATTATATTTTCTAAGTTGTACTGACTCCACACACCCCGTCTCGTCTCCAGGCTTTTATTTTATTGTTCTGTTTTAAAACTTTAGATTATAAAAAGGTACAAATACGAACTTTTCACCTGGAAAAACGTATTTATGGTACATTTGGACCTTAAAACCACTGTTGTACCTTTGAGGTACATTTACATTGTTTGTACCTTGATGAACAAAAATTATACCTGCTCAGTACCTTCTATTCTGACAGTGTACTGGAACCCATTTTTGGTGCCCTGATAAGAACCACTATCTAAAGATAACCTATAAAATAATAGATTATCCACCATATAGAAGTATTTAACCAAGCAAAGAGCATTTATATATTCAATGTGAGTGTTTGTCTTTACTGAAGAACCCGTTTTAGCCGAAATCAGTAGCTTCGCGGTTACTTCAGTGGAACGTGGTGAAATGACGTCACCTCAATTACGCAATTATTCAAACAGAAGTGAAATGTAAACTGTGTAAAGAGTAACCTGTAAACATGAGGTGGAATCCAACAGATGTGGACGGTACATCCACCATTTACCCTCTGTTAGCATAGCAGCTGAAGTCTGTTAAGCTCTATTCTTCTCTTTTTGTTTTTTTTGGGTTTTTTTTGTATTTTGTATTTTTTAGGCTACAATAAATTCCAAGGCTCCAGAAAGAGAGAGACAGGGGGAGAGGAAGAGAGAGAGAGAGAGAGACAGAGAGAGAGAGGCAGACAGAGAGAGAGAGAGAGAGCGAGGATCATATATATATATATATATATATATATATATATATATATATATATATATATATATATATATTTATATGTACATTTTCTTTAGTCACTAGACAGTGTCTCAAGCGTCAGACAGTGTATTTGTCTGTGAGGGAGCTTTTAGAGGCATTGAACTCCTGTTTGTCTGGTTCCTATCACCACCACTGTGAACTATTCGGACTTCTAGTTTCTCTAGAACGGAGCATTTGAGTGACAGCTTAATGATTTAATTATCCAGAAATTGGGAGAAATTTGGTGGAATTCCCCTTTAAGAACTAAACGTGAAGGACTGAACGGAAATTTGCTGTCTTCATTAGTATTTTCAAGTATGTGATAAGAGTGTTAACATTCGAGAAGTGCTAATGCATCCAAGCTGCACTGTCAGAAACGAAGGAAACAATGTAAACGTGCCCTTAAAGGTACTACAGTGGTCCGAGTGTGCACCATAAATATTTTTTCCTAGAGAAAAATACATATTTGTACTCTTTCATGACCTAATGTTTCAAAACAGAACAATAAAAAAAATGCTGGAATCAAGACAGGATTGGGTCAATAGCCTATCATTTAAAAATATATGATTTAAATGGCATATGGTACAATTAATTTCATAACAAGGTACTGAAGACAACAAGGTACTGTCTCCTTCAGAGTACCACCCCAGTGACAGTTCAGTATCTTTTTCTCTAAAAATGTGCATTTACAACTAAATATAACCACTTACCACAAATATCTGATGTATTTTTATGTTTTATATTTATATATAACATATAAATATATAACATTATATATTATACACCTGCTTTCTGGGGATGGAAACTCATGTTAGAGGAGCTCCTGGAGCTCCATCTTCCTGCAGGCCAGTCTGAACACTGATCTCCTGACCACCAGCTCCAACAAACCAGACTCTTCAGAAGGTCTGGATGAGCTGGATGAGCTGGAGCAGGGGAAACAGGTGGAGCAGGTGCTTTTAGAGGAGTCCGCTTCTCCACAGCTGCTGAGAGGTCGATTCGTGCAGACAGATGGCGCTGTTTCCGCACTATTACAGTCTGACCGCAGAGCCAAACGCGAGATGCTGCGCAAAAGCAGGATTTAACACAAGCAGTGCGACTAAACATCAGGCGACGTGAAAAACATTAAACATGACTGAAAATGAGAGTAAATATAAAATGAAAGTAGAGGAAAGGAGACTGTATGTCAGCGATTGGGAAACATGTAAATCAAGTTTTCCTGTTTTTGAGCCCAAACACGCAGATGTGTGTAATAAAATACAAAATAAAGCGTATACACAGTCTTAAAACAGAGGTGTTAGAAAACAACACATTCTGACTCTAACTAGACACATCAGTGTGTTCAGTTGGAGTCGACACATTTTGTCTTACTTTTAACAGAAAATGTGTTAAATCAGAAAACAGTGTGACACTAAAAGTGTTAAAATGGGTCAAACGAGTTAGTGTGTCGTTATTTAACACATCACCTTTTACAGTGTACTATCATCGGTGTGGACAGGACGTGTGTTACCTTTGAAGTCTAATTTTAATTTAAATTACATGAATTTAGCTACACTCTTAAAAAAATGTGGTTCTTCAACGGTTCTTTAGTAGAGAAAATGGTTAGAACCATGAGCACTCAAAGAACCTTTTGCATAATTAAAGGGTTCTCTGCATCGTGAAACGGTTCTTCAGATTGATGGAGGATGTGCTGTAGATGGTTCTATATAGAACCTTTTTGAAAAAGGGTTCTGTTATTGTTACGATGTCAAACTTGTATTAATAGAAGAGCCAGTTTAGGTGCTGTATAGAAACATACACAGCACATTCTTCATCAATCTGAAGGACCCTTTAGTCATGCAAAGGGGTCTTTGAGTGTTCATGGTTCTATACAGAACCATTTTCTTTACTAAAGAACCCCTAAAATAATAATCTTTTTAAGAGTGTAGAAAAAATAAATACATGATTATATTGTGGAATTTCGTTTTGTTTTGACTGGACAGCTGTGATCTCTTGTATCTATTTACATGCTATTCTAACACATCTGTAAATTTCTTAGTATTAACTTTAATATTAATGCTTCTATAACAAGCGTGACGCTGTAAAATGTGACGCTGTAATAAAAGGGTTAAATTAAATTGATGAAAATGGAAATAAAATAACATTAAAATGAGCTAAAAAGATGATGAAGAAAGAATAAAAAGGAGGGTCGGTGAAAAAAAATGTTTCACGAGCAGAATTTTTTTCCTTAACTAAAATTAGGCTATTATTATTATTATTATTATTATTATTGTTGTTGTCATTCATGCACTTAATTCTCTTCATAGAAAAACTGCCTTCACTATATATAGTCTTCATCGTCTTCATCTGAATGCCTTCACAAAATAAAATCACAGACTAATTTAAAAAATACGGTCAGTAAATGTTTACATTTATTAGCTAAATTTAAATTTTTATTTCACCATAATCAGAAAAACGTAGATAAATGCCTGTAATATAACTCATAAAAGAATAACAATAATCCTCCAACCATCCCAAATACATAACCCCCCCTCCACCCACACACACACACACACACACACACACACACACACACTCAAACACACGGAAACTCTACCGAACATTTGCACAGCAGATCAGATCTGAGGATCAGGAGGCGCGCGCAGTGAGAGGCTGCAGCGCTGAGGTCGCTTTTATTAGGCGAACAGTCAGTAAAACAGCAGCGCACATCATCACATCATCAGCCCCGCGCGGGTCCTTATCAATTAGAACTCAGGAGAAAAGAGCGCCCGGGCCCGTGACGTCAACACGTACCGCCTGCGAGCGGAGCAGCACGGCAAGACGGAGCTGGTGTGTCGAGGGCTTCCATTTCACACACACACACACACACACACACACACACACGCACACACACACAGAGCGCGCGGCAGAAACTCGGAGCAGCGAGGACACGTGGACGTGGAGCAACGGAGCAAAACACAGGTCCTGCTCGCGCGCTCTGTCTGTGTGAACGTGTGCATGTGTGCGCGTGCCTATACAAAAGTATTGTGTTGAAAATTTGTTACAGTTTTGTTTTGGAATATACTAACTATATATATACATAGTGTGTTATATATGTGAGTTGATCTATAATAGAAGTCAACGGGCAGATGCTGGAGCAGCTTATAATGGACTGTTTACAGTGCCTGGTAAACCTGTACTGCACTCTGCATGTCTGATAGGATCTGCAGCTGAAAGCTGAAGCAACAAGCCGTGCTGATTCACTGGACCTTCCTCAGCCCAAATATTCACCTTCTTGCCTCTCACACCTTCACATGAACCTCCTGTTGTCCAGGAGCTTTGGACATCTATAGTCCTTGCTTTGGATTTTGGCTCATTTTGGGCATGCCTAACCTCCAGCTGCTGTTATCATTTTAGGATCCTCCCCAAAGCACATCTTCTGCATGCTTCCCATTGACCACGAGTGCCCGGTGCCAATGTGGCTTGAAGTTCCTTGGTGCTTCATAGCTCCACAGTCTTGTTATTTGTCCCAGAAAACCCCTCCTATGGGTCAGTCCTGCATTAATGCATCTCGTGTAACGCTCAATTCGACATGCTGGCTCCCCTATTTTCCTTCGGTGCATTGCACATGTCGCTCGAGCTGTTGTGGGGAGAGAAACATGCTGGGAGGAACTTTAAGAGGATCATCCACGCAGGCTTTGGAGCAACAGTCATCAATGCACAGGGTAGGGGGGTGGGAGGGTGGAGGGTGCGGTGGCTGTGAGGGCTGTTTGGGTTTGTGCACCTTCAGGACCAAACTCTTCCCTCCAGATTCCAAGAGATGCTTGGCATGGGACGCTTGGCACTCAAGCACAAAATAGCTTCATTTCTGTATTTCAAGAGAAAACATAGAGACAGAAAGAGGCACTTCAGTTTTTTTAGCTGTTGTTTTGTTACTTTTTATTATCAATTTATTTTTATCTGCTTAAAAACCAACAAAAGCACAACCTCCTCGGCTGCTTTCTTCCTGCTTCTCTGCGGATTAGCTCTTGTGTGTTGGACTGCTCCCAACAAGGCTTCAAGTGAGTACTGCCCATTGGGGATGAATGAACTTGAATGGTCTTCAATAGTAAGAGTAACAATTAAAACGATTGCAAGTTTCCGAAATTTTCTATACCATTTTGTTACTCTGATCTAATAAAGGCCTATATTGTTTCCCAAAAAAATCACTTGAAAATTTGGCTTATACTGCAAAATTTCCCAAAAATTACACTGCAAAATTTGTCTTTTGCGGAATTCCCTAAGAATACATTCTAAGATTTGGGCTGAAGTGCAAAATTTCCTAAAACTGCATTCCAAAATGTCTCTTTCACTGCAAATATTATTAAAAATGCACTCCATTTTTTTACATTACACTGCGATTCCTAAAAGTGCATTGTAAAATTTCCTGAAAATACAATCAGAAATTTGGCCTACACTCCAAAATTTATGTCAACACCTACAACTGGCTGAATTCCAAACTGTAATCAACACTGTAAGAGTGAGTTAAACACTATGAGAGTGAATTAAACACTGTAGATGTTAATTCACCCCTGGTTGTTTTGCTGTATGTTGTTTTTCTCAGATGTTTATTTGTGAGTTGTGGTACAGTATATAAACACTGAGTACTGGTCAGATTTGGTGTTGCTGAGGGTGGTGGAGTGGTGGTTGCTGCTCCAGCGTGGGGCTGTGAAAGCAGACAGTTGTGTGATTGTTTGGGAGCCTGGGAAAAAGGTCCCGGGCCGTGTGAGGTGGGGGGTGTTCCCCCGGACCCTCTTGTTGAGGAGACCTGTGTGCTCCCAGACCTCATTGTCATGCTAATGGGTGCCTGCACGTTGTTGAACTTGATGTTGACTTCTTTCTTTTCGGGGGGCTGCGTTTTTTTTCCCTCGGCCACTTGTTTTGTGGGAAAAAACTCTTCTCCAGAGCTACAGTGTGAAATTAATTAATCAGGCTTTTGGATCCGCCAACAATAGAGGCCTGAGAGGACGGAGGAGCAACACAAAGAGCCTCCAGAGCTTTTATAAACTCTGCTTTTACCCACACACAGCACACAGAAAGAGAAACTATTTAAGTGTTTAGTTAATGATAAGCTGGTGCTTTTATACAGCTGTACACGACTTTCACTTGTTTATTTCTATTATTATGATAAACATTTAGTTTTCTAATTTTTTTTATAAGGGCTGTGCAGAATCTGTGGAAATAAAATAGTGTATGTCTGTGAATGTGTGTGTGTGTGTGTGTGTGTGAGTGTGTGTTAAGACCACCTTATAAACTACGTGTGGTATGTAGGTATAATACTGTAATAATACTGTAATAACATATATAGAGAGAGATTGTTGAAAGAAGCACACAAACACACATACACATACATATGCGTGTGTAAATACATATACTGTATATATATATATATATATATATATATATATATATATATATATATATGCTTGTTTTTACACTACAAGGGAGTCAGTAATGTTTATTAATAATTACTACTTGGAAATTTTAACTTAATTTTCATCTTTTAAATTAATTAAAGCTTTTAAGGTCAGTTTTTAGTTTTTATGTCATAGTTTTTCAGCTGAACTTGATGCTCCACATAATATAATTTCAGTGGGAGATACTGTAGTGAACAAATTATTGTATAACCAAATACAAACCCATTCATTTCAACTTTCTTTTTTGAAATAACTGTACTTTAATCAGAGTTAATCAGAGGCTTGCAAAAACAAGTGAATATATATATACATGTGTTTGTTTGTGTGTGTGTGTGTGTGTGTGTGTGTGTGTGTGTGTGTGTGTGTGTGTGTGTGTATACACACACACAAATAAACACATGTATAAGATTATATGTATGTATAAAACTATCAACATGACTTAAACTTCTGCATTTCTAACATTTATAATTATCATTGTATAATTATAGAATGTTATAATAAGCTATAATATAATGCAGATGATATAACGCACGTCCAATGCTTTATTTGCAAAAGGGGAGCATTTAAAATTTTATTGTACATCACATTAAATCAGTTCCTTCAACAAACATTTCAGTCGAAAGTTATATGAATAATCACACTGTAAGTTTTCTTTGGCTTTATCTTCCTTCAGCTCCCAGAGCGGTGTAGCTCATACGAGCGCTGTGTATAGAAATGAGAAAGGCTTACGGAACTGAGATTTCTTTTGAATAAATCTTGTCAAATCCTAATTCATTGAGTACAAATACTTTATTAAAATACATTTTATTTTATTTCGGGAGACAAATGCATTTGGGATGCTTCCCGGTCAGCCTAGCTTTGAGGAAGGCTAGATGTTCCCTGAGAGAAGAGAGTGAAAACGAAACTGTAGTTAAAAAGTGGTTTCAGCACCGCGGACAGCGGCCGCTCACCTGCCGCCTCCTGCGATTACAGACACACGGTATTACACGTTCTCAGCTTCACATTCAGGATCAGTGCAGTTCTGTCTGAATGTTACGAGCGCAGAGAGGCGGAATTACACTGATACACAAACATCACACTCATCACATGTTCAACAGTCAGGAGGAGTTACACAACAGAACAGTCCACTGAGGGTCTCATCATTTACAACAGGACGTGACGTAGAGAGCAGGTACGTGTGTGCGTGTGTGTGTGTGTGTGTGTGTGTGTGTGTGTGTGTGTGTGTGAGAGAGAGAGAGAGAGAGAGAGAGAGAGAGAGAGACAGAGGGAGAAAGAGAGAGAGAATGGACAAGATAGTCAGGGTTTTATGGACGCATTGCCTTAAATGTCCAATCTCATTTAAACTTTAACTATTTGCCTGATTTTTTTTTCATTTATAATTCACTTCTGACTCAGAGTAAAACATGATTTTACTGTGGGGAAATGTAGGATTTACTCATCACTGATCATTCTCGAGTTTTAGTGTATTACTATATAAGTGTAGAATTATTAATACTACGGCACCAAAAAGGATTCTGCTACTGTTACAGGTTTTGGTATTATATAGAACACACACACACACACACACACACACACACACACACACATATTTATATATCTATATGTTACATATATGTATACACACCCAGTCATGTTAGCACATCTTCTTCAGGGAACAAAGGCGTTTTTCTGCTATTTAGAATTTAATTGCTGATTTGAATTTTTATTTTATTGCTTTAATTTTATTGCTTTGCTTTTTATTTGCTGAGTGTAACATATTGAGAATATATATTTATATATATATATAACTACAAACATACGCCATAACTTTTGTATAGGCCACATTTTGTGTTCTTCTTCTTTCTTTTTTATCTCCAACGTGTTAAATTCTGAAAATGAACATTAATCGTACATTACAATGTGCAGAAGTGTAGAGGGTGTGTTAACTTATTTTCACTTAGAAAATTAACAAGTTTATCTCCTCAGAACCAACACGTGAACACGTCAATGGACGAAATAAATAAACAAACAAACAAACAAACAAACGCAGGTGAGGAAACTTTAAATGTAAGAGCTACATTCTGAACCACTGCGGCTCCTATCTGACTGAATTAGAGACGATCTTTAGGCTCGTCGGTGCTTAATAGAGTATTTATTACTCTCAGTGTTGATGTAAGTGCACCAGTCGTGCTGAGATGTGAGTTTCCTCACTTGTTTTCTTCCTGCCCTGAAACGCCTCGCCTGTGTAGCTCATCGTTCAATCTCGCAGAGACTCAAAGCTTTTCTAACCTTGTCTCCCAGCGGCCTCCTGTTCATTAGCATTTCTTCAGATTATAATTTATTATTATATTCTGCTGGTTATTACAATGTAATTACACCCTATAATATCATACGAGCGATTCGGAATAGACTCAAATTGTTTCCCTTTTGTACATTAGAAATTTAATAACAGTGTAAATAAAAAGAATTTACTCAGAGAGCAACACCACACACACACACACATCCCTTAATAATTAATCTATAAAGCACACAGTATCTTACTATCCTATTACAACTTACAACTCCTGCTTTTTAAAGCTGATTCCAGGATCCACTCCATCACACCGCAGCACAGTATATGTCACAGTAAGGATGATATAACCTCCCATTAGACTGCAATAGGCTCCATATAATACATGCATACAAACGTAAAATAGTTCTCATCTTGAGCACGTGAGTAAACCACCTAAGTAAGATTAGCTTTAATAATAAATACAGTCCTCATCTTTTATCACTAATAAGAGTTTTAACATCACATTAACGCCGCTGTGTGATGTGTGATTACACTACAGTGACTGGTATATTAGAGTTTCCTTCATTAATGCTTTAAATAGGGAGAAAGAGTGGAAATGCAATGTAGACACGTACAGGCAGATTGATGTCTTCCAAGCTGTGTTGGTTTGTTAATGTAGGCTATTAATGTTTCAATGTTGTGGGGGGTTAAATGACCCTCATAGCTGATGAATAAGCTGCTTCAGGTTGTATTAAAGCGCACACGTTTGGACGTCAGCGTGGGTCAACGTTTTCAACGTCATCAAGTCAAGCGGAAACGGGGTTAAAATGAGCAAAAATGAGCAAGTAAGATTAATATTTGTGTGTTTGTGGTAAATAAAACGAGTGTGCTAGTGCAGAATATCGGGCAGTGCAGCAGAACTGGGAAAACAGTGGCCTACATGTGGCAGCCAGTTATTTTTTTATCCCCACTTGTTTTCCGGCAGGCCACGCCTCCTGCGCTAGGATTGGCTAGTAATTCACATTCGCACGCGGCGGAGAGCGAGTGAGTGAGAACGACTAACCTATCCAAGCTAACGAGGCGGGACTTTACCAGCCAATCCGAGCCCAGGGTGGGCGGGGCATGTTCCGAAAACAGGTGGGAAAAAAACAACCCAACGCCAGTCTTGCAGTCTTCTCGCTTTTCCCGTTTCACGTCGGTCGCGACGCCTGACGTTCAGCGATTCTGCTGCTCGGCTTGATTAAACCAAAAAGCAGAAACCAAAAAGACCTTTTTTTATTTTGTCGACGACTTCGTTCTTTTTCTTTTTCGGCACGTGAACCGACTGCAGCGAGTGGAATTACCGCAACGTGCA